CCTATTAGCTTTCTGTTTAAGTGCAAGGGGGCTGCCGCCCCCTTGACCCCCGCTTTTCTTTTTCTCAACCCCTATTAGCTTTCTGTTTAAGTGCAAGGGGGCTGCCGCCCCCTTGACCCCCGCTTTTCTTTTCCTCAACCCTTATCAGCTTTCTGTATTATTTTAATTTTAAATATGCACCCCAGCACCACAATCCACAGTGACACTTCATATTTAAGGAAAGTGAATGTTGCACTAACACCATTGAGTTTTGAGTTCATCATTCTAGAATTTAATTTTCCATTCGCACAGAACAATCTAACAAATCAACTAGAATTTCCAAATATAACACTATACATATATATATAGAGGCAACTATGCAGCAAAACAAAAATAAACTCTCCAATACTATCTACAAACAAACAAACAAAAAAATTGGAAAAGAATCAATCAATTCATAACACCTATTCACTATCAGAACCAGCAGCAGTCTCAGTTTCAGAATCTTCAGCATCAGTATCTTCTGTTGATGGTTTGTACAAATTCACAATCTGTTCAACAAAACTGGCCAATGAATCCTTTCCCTGCATGAAACGCCTCCTAAACATAAACTCAGCTAAGTAGCTATCAAATTGTTTCTTCTGCCTATTGCATCTTGGGAACATACGCTTCACAAGCCCCCACATTCCTTCAATGGTATTGGTACAGCATTCACCATCCTTAAATGTGATGCTATGATTCACTTTCAAGTGACGATAACCACGCCTGCCAAGAGTATCATAAGCTTTCCAAGAATCACTGTAGATGGTGGTGCCAGGCCTAATGTTCTTCATGATCAAGGGAACAAGGGTTTTAGCATCTCTTCTATCAACTTTGGCTAAAAAACACTTATTTGATCCCTGCTCTACACCCCCAAACACCCATTGCTGGCATTTCTTCTTTGAACCCCTATTTTGTTTACGTTTGTTGAACATGGACTCATCGATTTCAACTATTTTCCCTTCACCACCGATAGGTTCATGATAACGCAACATCAAAGTGGTGCAAACTTCTCGACAAAAAGAAAACCAGTCAACAACAGTTTTGGAAGAAATAGAGCACTCTCTCATGACTTGAGCCTGACTGAAACGTTCAGCCCACATATAAGTAATTAATACTATTTTCCTCAGAGGCATTTTGGACTTCTCAAACCAAGATCCACTTCTGACTGTTCTAGTGTTCTTGCACCGTTTACAACGCCACACTGACCCATCCTGACAACGATTCTTCTTTCCTAACACCATGTCAACGTTACAGTCAGAACAAGAGTAGCTACTGGTAATCATGCCTACTTCTTGCAACCATTTCAGATATTCCCAATCAGTGCACTGGCTCTTCTCAAATAGCTTCCACATATTCATTCCTTCCATTTTCACTTAGCTCAGCTCCCAACAACTGTCACTCAACTAATAAATAGGTATTTTCAATAACTTACCATCACACCTCGCAAGCCCCTTCAGAAAACATAACCTACTCCAACTCCCCCCCCCCCTCCACCCCACCTGGACGACAAATTTCATCGCGGGCATGCAGAGGTTGGCAGCCCAGCCAAAAACGGCCTATTTGGCGTAAACAAAAGAAACGGAGGTCTATACTACATATCAACCGGCCTTCTCAGAGACACTTTCGGTCCTTTTTGGAGCCAGTTCAAAGCAAAGTATAACCAACGGGGATACATTTATTATGGCCCTCTTTCCCTCTCTTCCCAGCCCCTCACGCCTACCTACCCAGCCACCCCCTCCCCCAACCCAATCCGCCATAGCCACAAAACCTAATGGGGTCAACAGAGGTACGCGTTTAAGGTAGTACGAAAAAACTTACCCACCAGAAAAAATATTACCTAGGGGTATACATTTACCCTGGTATACCAAACACCATCGTCAGTGAAACCCACTATTCTGCCTCATTACAGATCAAATCCAGATTTAACTATGTGACTGATATGGAGTTGCACTAGTTGATGACATGAAGCATCAACACATCAAAAATATTTACAATATGGCAATGAAAAGATAACGATAAGAAATCACCCCTGCCAACTGACTCGAAAAGTAACAACAAAATTCAAGGCGAGTAATCACAGTGATGGTGCAGCAGTCACAGGACATCGCATGTGCAGGCTCCACTGGTAAAACAAGTGTGCAATATTTGCACACCAACGTGTGCAAGTTGTGATTTTGCACATTACATGGTGTTTAACTCAAGTTGCACACTTGTGTGGTGTGCAAATTTTAGACGTTTTGTAAACGTTTAAATTCTGCACACTTGGACGTACACAGTTCTATGCTGTTAATAGGGAACCATATGGTGTGCAGCTGCTATACGTTTCGGAAGTGTCGAAAGTTTAAACACCAATTGACGTATAACATAGTTAGACACCACAAAGTGTCGAGAAAATGCACACTTGAACCTAGACGTCAATTGACGTGCAAAATTAAACACTTGTTTTACCAGTGTCGACTTCAGAGAAGGAGCAGCAGCGACGCACGGAGAGAGCGAACTCTTCACAGCGGTGCAAACACTGCCCACAAACTGGAGCGACTCGGCTCACTCAAATCACTCACCAGACCCCGGCCCCCCTTTTTTTTGAAGCTAATCAAACTACGAAAAGGCACTCCGATATTCATTAGAGGATATGTAAACTTTGGGGGAAAAAAAGGAAATAACCCAAGCGTTAGCTGCACTTAATCCCAACGGAGGACAAAAAGAGTAGTTGATAGATAAAGGGTTTGATAGTTATATAGCAGAAAAGAGGATTTGCACTCCCGGTTTTAATGAGAATACGAAATTGCAACGTGACAAGTTCTGAAGGAAGCTAAAGGGCTTTCTTCCCCTAGACTAGCTTCCCCGCCTTTTCCTAACGCCGCCGCCTCTACACCCAACCTACCTCTCTCTGACCCACTGTCCTTGTCACATTAACCCCTTTGAACTTAGCGCTCTTAACACTAAACACCGCAGGGGGTGGCAGTGCAAGTGCACATAAATCACACATTAATTATGGGACAAATGCTTCCCCCCCCCCCCTCCACTTCCCAAATCCCCTCATACTTCCCCCGTTGAACTAAGTGCTCGAAACGTCAAACACCAGTAACACATCGTCAAGAAAACAAGTTGCACTATGACACTTCTGATACTACGACACTGTAAAAAATATTGGTAAAAGTGACGGGAACAGTTTTCATTATGGGTGTTGTAAAATTACAATTTAAAATATCTAAATTTTGAAGTACCTTGTATCGATTAAGAATTCGTCGAAGAACAAAAATAGACACTTGTAAATTTTCAATATACTTTGTAAAAAGGAAATACAAAATATGTTTAAAGTTTACAAAGATATTTTTCATAGTGGACCTCTAATCAAAATTGCATACTAAGAGAGGGAAATTGACGGAGAAGTGCAGGTTAAACATGTACTCACCGAACTACAAAAGCAGTCGGATGTTCACCATGAGAAGACTGCTTGAGATTTCTAGCGGTGTCCACTTGGCCACACTTGGATTGCCTCGGATTTTCTGGAGTTGCATTCACCGCTCTGACCTGGAAAGAAATTAAAAAATGTATTAGTGCACAGAAATTTAGCTCGATATTGGTAATATTAAAATGATGATACGACAAGAGGGCAACGTGTATCAACAACACACCAGACAATGTGGGACTCCGAAATGGGTGTAAAAGGGATGTAGCGGTGAACCACCGCGACTACAAACCACCCCTCTGCTCAAAAAACGTATTTTAGGGGTGGGGGAGAGTTTCCTTCCTATTTTGCGGTTTTTAGCCCGCTATTCTGCTTCGACAAAGCTATCCAGCGGGCTTATGCAAACGACCTCGTGTCTGTGTGTCTGTCTGTGTGTCTGTCTGTTTTACAAGAAGGACTTCAAATTTTTAGAGGATCTCAAGGTTCACTCCCACAAAACAAAACGCCTACGGCAAATCCTGCCAGCCACCCCTAAGGGGCTGAAAGGGGGTATCGAAGAAAACAGGAAAGGCCAAAAAACTTCGTTTGGCGGAAGGGGGAGCTCCGCTGGCAACTCCGTTCGGCAGGGGCTGGGCCTGCTTGGCCTGCCGGCGGCGATGGTCGGGCCTGCGGCCCGACCATTTCTGTTACGCGATTTGCTGAAGAACATGATCGAATGATGTAGCGGGCCTTCACTGCAAACCAAAACGTTCGTAGCTTACGAAGGATTTTGAAGCGTTGCATTACGAACTAATTGTTCGTAAGCTTACGAACAAATAGTTCGTAATGCAAACCGATTGTTCGTAAGACCCGTCTAGCCTTACAAAACAATCGCTTTGCAACACGAACAATTTCTTTGCAATACAAAGAACGAAAATTGTTCGTAACGTTGCAAAGTATTTAGTTCGTAAGCTTTTTACAGTGTTCGGCCCGCTTAAACCCGTCGTCTTTGAGTTTGCCCCAAAGACTCGAGAAAAAGATGTAACGGTGAAGCACCGCGACTACAACCCACCCTTCTGCTTATGAAACGTTTTTTGGGGGAAGGGGGAGAGTTTCCTTTCTATTTTGCGGTTTTTAGGCCTTTTTAGCCCGCCCTTCTGCTTTGAAAAAGCTATCGAGCGGGCTTATGCAAACGACCTCGTGTCTGTCTGTGTGTCTGTCTGTGTGTCTGTCTGTGTGTCTGTCTGTCTGTCTGTTCCACTAGAAGGAGATGTGCTAGAGACTTCAAATTTTCAGGGTATCTTAAGGTTCACTCCTAGAAAACGAAACGCCTACAGCAAATCCTGGCAACCAGCCCTAAGGGGCTGAAAGGGGGTATCAAAGAAAAGGTGGTAGGTCAAAAAAGTCAGAAATTTTTTTTTTTATTATGGGCTCCTAAGGGGTAACCCGTCAAAGTAGAGCCCTTTGGGCGAAAATTTCGTCTGTTTTGCTCTATCTCTACCCGTTTAGGCGCTAGAAGGAGTTTCTATCACGAAAGTGGCCCAAAGATAAACAAATAAATTTTAGAAAACATTAGATGGTCTCCTAAGGGATAACTTGCAATAGTAGATTCTCTGGGCGAAAATTTCGTCCGTTTTGCTCTATCTCTACCCGTTTATGCGCTAGAGGGTCTTTTTAGACAAAAATAAGCTAAAAATTGCCATAGTGAACAATAAGATGTAGAAAAAGGCCCGAAAACCGCAAAAAATAGAAAGGAAACTTTCCCCCAACCCCAAAAAACGTTTTCTAAGCAGAAGGGTGGGTTGTAGTCGCGGTGCTACACCGTTACATCCCTTTCTCGAGTTTTTGGGGCAAACTCAAAGATGACAGGTTTAGGCGGGCCGAAGGCCCGTTACATCATTTGATTATGTTCTACAGCAAATCGCGTGACAGAAATGGTCGGGCCTCAGGCCCGACCATCGCCGCCGGCAGGCCAAGCAGGCCCGGCCCCTGCCGAACGGAGTTGCCGGCACAGCGAAGCGAAGCTGGCAACTTCGTTTGGCGGAAGGGCTCTACTTTCACGAGTTACCCCTTAGGAGAACGTTAAAAAAAAAACTTTTTGGGAGAATTTTTGAACCTTGGATACCCCCATTCACACCATTAGGGGTGGTTGCCAGGATTTGCCGAAGGCGTTTCGTTCTCTAGGAGTGGACCTTGAGAGACCCTGAAAATTTCAAGTCTCTAGCACATCTCCTTCTAGTGGAACAGACAGACACACAGACACACAGACAGACACACACGAGGTCGTTTGCAGAAGCCCTCTAGATAGCTTATGCAAAGCAGAAGGGCGGGCTAAAAACACGAGGTCGTTTGCATAAGCCCGCTGAATAGCTTTTTCAAAGCAAAAGGGCCGGCTAAAAAGACAGATCGAGTCAAAAATGAGCACTCTAGCTCAAAAATTGACTTTTAAAAAATCAACAAGCAGGCCCGCCCTTCCGCCAAACAAAGTTGCCAGCTTCGCTTCGCTGCGCCGGCAACTCCGTTCGGCAGGGGCCGGGCCTGCTTGGCCTGCCGGCGGCGATGGTCGGGCCTGCGGCCCGACCATTTCTGTCACGCGATTTGCTGTAGAACATAATTAGATGATGTAACGGGCCTTCGGCCCGCAAAGCCCGTCGTCCTTAAAATTTGCCCCGTAGACACGAGAAAGGAATGTAACGGTGAAACACCGCGACTACAACCCACCCTTCTGCTTAGAAAACGTTTTCTGGGGTGGGGGTAGGGAGTTTCTTACCTCTTTTGCGGTTCTGGGCCTTCTTTTACATTTAAGTGTTCACTACAGCAATTTTTAACTTATTTTCGTCAAACAAGACCCTCTAGCGCCGAAACGGTTAGAGATAGAGCCAAACGGACGAAATTTTTGCCCAGAGGGCTCTACTTTGACAAGTTACCCCTTAGGAGACCATTCAATATTTTCGGAAATTAATAAATTTATTTTTGGGCCACTTTTGTGAGAGAAACTCCCTCTAGCGCCCAAACGGTAAAAGATAGAGCAAAACGGACGAAATTTTCGCCCGTAGGGCTCTAC